TGTGTGTGTGTGTGTGTGTGTGTGTGTGTGCGCGCGCGCGCACACACACACACATACATACACGTACACACACTCAACATATGCATACATACTAATAATAATAAACAAAAATTAAAAGAAAGAAATAGAAGGTACTTCAAGTGGGAACCCCAATGCATTTATTTCCCTACAAAGAGAAAATCCTCTTTGATTTTCTAAGTCTCTCTCAAGAAAACCCTACATACAAAATGTTTACTTCCTCTCTCCACAATGATGCCTATCTCCACAGCTACCCTAAGCTGACTCTTCAAGAATTTTTGCAGTAAAGACAAGCCATTCAGTAATTAATCCCAAAAATAAACTTTCAAAAGGGATAAAACTGAAAGAAAAATAAAAGCCTTTTTCTTTATGCATCTTGTCTTAAATTATGCTGCCTAATGGTGAGTTCTCACTGGAGACATCCCTGTGCAAGGTAACATTAAGATGCACATATCCCCTTATAATAAACTGGACAATTTAAGAGCCCTGGACAAGTTACCAAGAGAAAAAGTATTAAAATGGAATCCTAGCTTTTAATTTTTCTATCTGTGAATGTAAATATAGATTATAGGTAATGGACCTACAAAGGGGACCACAGGGGAAAGGGTTCTGAAGCAGACTGGTAAGGGTAATAGGGTCCCTATGGCGTGAAGGTAGAAAGGAGACTCTTGGGGATGGGAAGACACAAGAGGGAGCAGGGAGGTGGGGAGGAGAGTGGAGAAGGAGCAGGCTTAACCAAACAAGTGATGTCTGAAAATACTGTAAGGAAATGGTTACTTCATTCTTGCTGTTGTTAAATCAACATACAAAGTAACAGGTTTCCTTCTAGAATTTCACACAAACTTAGTTTTGCGTGATGAAGACACCCTCCTATCCCCACTCCCCACACCCCCACCTCCCCACCCCCTCACCCCACCTCCGCACCCCTACAGTCCACCCCCTTACCCCGCCTCTCCAACCCCTGACTTCCCAGTCTCCTTCCCCCATTCATACATTACTATCCTAGTGTTCTCCTTGGTCATAAGTTCTGTTCCCCTCCTCACTCCAACTTCCTTAAAGCCTCTTTTCTCTCTCTCCTGGACCCTTTCTACTGTCCTGACCTTCTACTACACCCACACCCACATAACCACACACAGACAAAAATCAGAAACTAGGGCCTGCACAAGAGACAATGTAGTATTTGTCTTTCTCCGTGTGCCACTCAAGAAACAGCCGTGAGAAGAAAAAAAAAAGTAGAATTAAAAATATGTTTTTAAATATAAAACAAAAGAAGAAAGGAAGAAAAGGAAACAAAATCAAAGCCATGGCAATGGGGCCAGGTGAGACAGCCCCAAGGATAACCAGCTGGCAACCCGGCCTGACAATCTGCATTCAACCTCCAGAACCCACAGTGGACACGGTGGAGGAGGAGAAACGACCCCTGAAAGTTGTCCTCTGAACTCCACAGACAAATGACATGGACACACACACATGCACTCAACATATACATGCATACTAATAGTAATAACTAAAAATTAAAAGAAAGAAATAGAAGATACTTCAACTGGGAAGCACAATGCATTTATTTCCCCAGTTTTCCTACACTTAATACTTAAGCCAAAATGGAAGCTTCCATTCAAATGGATCCATGCATATAGACACAAAGATGGTCTTAAGCTAAACCAGAGAAGACATTCTTTGCTGATGAAAATCATGTACTAGTCTGGAAGGGTCACTGGGAACAGAGTACTTGGCTTCCCTACACTTCTGTCTCCTATTTCCTGTCTCTAGATTATGTGCAGCATGCTGGGCTGTAAGAAGACCCTGATGATCTCTGGCAGCTCAAATGCACATCTGCCCACACATCGCCCAGCCGAATGTCACCCTCTGCTGCAGCTGAGGGCTCACAAATTAGGGAACTGAAGTGAAAAGATGGCACCGATTTAGGATTAGAAGGACCCAGCAACCTTCTCCAGCCCTCTGGGCATTATGGGAGAGTGACCTAGAAAATCAAATGCAGAGAAGTGTCCTAAAGTACAGGACTCTTGTTTGAGGCATAGTAGAACCTATTAGCTTGAGAAATTGGTCTGGAAATCTTATTAAAAGAGACAAATCATTCCACATCCTCCTCAGGCTGAAAATATTGGGGGTAATAGACTGTCCCCAGTGCCTCAAATCCATGCACCTCATGTCAGGATCACAGCCGAACTCTGGCAAGGCTAAATTCAATGCAGGCAATAAAGGCAATTATTTTTTTTAAATGGGAAGTTCTGATTAATTCCAGTTTCTCTGGCCAACCACAGACTTATCGGTACCAGTCCCTCATTACTGTGAAGGTTGCAAGGCAGAAGAGCCAGTGGCAAAGAGAAATGAAGTTCAAATTGTGGATTTGTCATTACTGCACAGCTCAGCAGCAGCAGATTGTCCAGCTACAGAGGCCCCTGTGACCAGCCCTCCTCCCCCACCCCCACCTTCACATCTCCTTTCTCAATATGCTTGATTAACCCCTGATGGAGAGGCTGGGCAAGCAGAGGACCAATGCCTTAAGAAACTTCACCTTGAACATCTTTGCTACTTGAGAGGAGTGATAAGAAAGGACATTCTTCATATCTAAGTGCAGAATGACTCGTGACTTGTAACAGGACATTCAGCTTGAGAATCTTGACTTTACAATGTTGTGTAAATGATACAAATTTGATAGAAGCTATATAAACTTTGATTTGGTTGTCTTCCTTGGACCAATGATATGCAGTACTCTCTGGTAACTGTTAGGCATTGGCAGCAAGCTAAAGATCCCAGACATGCAGCATCCTGCAGAGTCCTTTACAGTATGTAGTACTTTATTGCAAAATGGCAATCATCTGAAGGTTCTGTATATCAAATATATTTTTTGCAGTTCTGGTGATTAAATATAGGGCTTCATGCATGCAAGGCAAGTGCTCTACCATTGATCTACATCCCCAATTCTAAATTCATTTTCTTCTTTATGATGTCATCAACCAATGATGCATTTATGGGGATACAATGAATATGTTCATAAGCCAAGGAATATGTTAATGATAGTAATCATACAATGGTGATAACTATACAATTGAATTATAAATGCAATAATTATCTGCAATATCAAGTATGTATTCATTTCATGGCTGGTACAGTACTAAGTGATTTATTTTCATGAATTATCTCCTTTATCCCCAAAATAACCCCAACAGAGAAAGAGACAGCAAAGATTGGTATGAATAGCTAGACAGAAAATATTGTAGGTCTCTGTCTAAACTACTCAGTCTGCACCTGCAGCACTGTGTGGCAGCAGTCATAGATAATATGTGAACAGGTTAACAAATAAGTGTCAATAAAACTTTATTTACAAAACCATTTCATACGGCTATTAGGCCATAGTTGGCCAACCACAGCTCAAGTTAAATGATGGTATCCCTAAGTGAGAACTTCAGGTCTCCACTGGTAAGAAGGCATGGATGTGATGTTTCCCTTTTGCATACCCCACCTCCTGTTCTTTCTTTATCATTCCAGTTCTTGAGGGAGGAGAGAATAAAAAGTGTCCTGTCTGTGACTTCCCAGGGTGAATTACCAGTTCACTACTATCAACAAAAGAGAGGGCAATTCTTCTCTCCCAGAAAAATCCTGCCTCAGAAGAGGCCACCACACTTTCATGGGTCACCTCTGTCAATATCTCCAAGCTGGTGTGGGCCATGACTGACCTCACCCTGTGAGACACTCAATGCAGAACCACTGCTAGAAGCTTCAGTGGGTCTTTGTGAGCATTCATTATGTCTTCTTAGCAACTCCTGGGTGACCATTCTATCACATGCTCTCTGTCCAGGCACCAGTAGCCCCAGAAATCCTGTGGCCCCAATTGTCATCCTCGTGTGTCCCAAATCTAAGACAGTGGTTCTAGGCAAGGTCTATCTCAATGCTCCTCGGAGACCAGAAATTTGAAGGAGCATGTGTTGCCTTTCCACAGATACCCACACTAAAGTCACCCGACAAATCAATAGACACAGAGGAATACTGTGTCCATCCTCCTTGATGACACACATAAACAACAGACCAACTAGGGTCTGAGACCAGAGCTCCTCAGTCTCTGCAGAACTGCATTGGACTGACAGTGTTCTCAAGGAGTATTCTGTATATTATGGTATGTCTAGCTGCATCCTAGCCTGTGCTCATAGCTGTTACCATAGCTGTAATGACCAAAACTGACTTCAGACATTGGGAGATAGGGACAAATGGCCTCTAGCTGAGAGCCACTGTCTTAGAGTGAGGGGTGACCATGGATATGGCTATCGGCTATGCATGTAGTTCCCAATTCCAAAAATTCTGGGAAGACAGTCAGCAAACTCTCTTGGTACCAGGGAAATGCTCTTTCTTATGGTATGAGGGAGACATGCTTCTCCTCAATTAACTCATGAGAGCAGAGGTCTGGGTGACAAAACTCATAAGCATTAGAGCCTAGATTTGGAGCTAAGGCTGTCAGATGCCAAAATCTGTACTTTTTAAAACAGTTAGTCTGAATATGACTGTGAATAGTCAAGGTAGACTTTTCTGGAATGGGAAGCAGTTGCCATAATTGTGGTAAAATGAAACCAGATTGTGCCTGCCCTTTACTTGGAACTCCTAAAACCGTGACAGCAGCACTTACAAGTAGATGCTGTTCTCCCCACTTCACAAATGAGAAGACTAAGGTCCAGATGCTATTCTCCGCATTTCACAGATGAGAAGACTGAGGTCCAACAAAGTAAGAGATGATTTGAAGTCAGCATAGAAAATATTTTTAAGCCTTCTCCTTTGTTCAAAGCTTTACCATTTCAGAACCAAACAAGTTGGACCTGTACTTCAACAGAAAATCTATGTACAGTTTGTTTTATAAGACTGTACCTTTCTGGTCATGTTGTCCTGCTCACACAAAAGGCTTGGTGATAAATAGCACTTATGTGCCCCCTTCTTTGACTTTGGCCTCCTGTGACCACTTTTTTTTCCTACAGCTCTGTATGCAGTACTGGCCTGAGAAGACTTCTGGGTGTTATGGTCCCATCCAGGTGGAGTTTGTCTCTGCAGACATTGATGAGGACATCATCCACAGAATCTTCCGTATCTGTAACATGGCTCGGGTGAGTACAGAGCCGCCATGGCTCACTGCAGAGCCGCCATGGCTCACCGTTCCCCTACTTTGCAGAACAGATGGAGGCTCCTGGGAGAAGATCCCACTGAGCCCGCCAAGAGCCTGTTCCTCTCTCCTGATAAGCTCTTCCTTGGGAAAGTGATGCCTTTGCTGATTCCGGCTCCAGATCCAGCAATGGCTCTAGCACAGACAGATACGCAGAGTGGCATCCAGCCTGCCAGCTGCCTGTTTCCTGACACACTAGCAGCCATGTAGACACAACTTCTCAGACATTAGCTCTTCCCCACTCTGGCATACTGCACTGGTATCCTTCAGTTGGATCTTATGCGCTTTACACCAGGTCCTACAAATACTGACATGGATAACAATTAGTTGCTTTCGAAGGGATAGTTACTGGTTGAATGCTGGGTCAGAGGGGCACATTAAAAATCCATAAAACGATGACTAACTAATGCTCTTTACTGAGAACCCAGAGAGATGGTACTCAGTCTCTGCCCTCAGAGTTTGCTATCAAACAGAAATAAGATATGCTCCAACTAATGAGCTTCAGAGAGAAAGAATTCTACTTGGCAGAACAAAGAAAGGTGTTCCTAAAGAAATGACCATCTGAATTGAGTTTGAAGACTGACAGGAGTTTTCAAGGTGTAGAGAAGTTAAGCAGCATACACAGGGGGATGACATTAGGTATAAAGACACTCTGTGCCCATGATGGCACAGCTGAGGCCCCACTGATTTCTACTCTATTTCAGCCCACCAGGGAATCTGAAAGGTTTGTATCCCCAGGCATCCCTAGCAGAATAGCCCTAAACAGTGCTTTGTTCTCAGCCACAGGATGGTTATCGTATTGTCCAGCACCTCCAGTACATTGGCTGGCCTGCATACCGGGACATACCCCCTTCCAAGCGCTCTCTGCTCAAAGTGGTCCGACGGCTGGAGAAGTGGCAGGAGCAGTATGATGGGAGAGAGGGACGCACCGTGGTCCACTGCCTGTGAGTACCCACAGAGGTGTCTCCAGAGCAGTGTAGTGATGGATGACAGAATATTGAAAGTGTTTCTGGTTGCATATGCCAGTCCTAGGCATCATATCAACACCCTTTAGAATCCATTGATAATCCATTCAAAGGAATTAGAATCCTTTAATGAACTAAGGTGCCAGTTTTTCTAAACTACTGTTGTATGACATATTGCTAAAGTAGAATACCATAAGCAGACCACCTCCCAGTGCTCCCAACACAGAGTGAGTTCCACTCTCCAAAAGGGGGTATGTGCATCATCCTGCTAGGTATAAGAAAGCTTGGGATAAAGTGAGTCCCACTGACCGAGCCCCCTTGTGTTATTTCCTGAAGGAGAAGAAATGGGACAGTATTATATTGGCTTAATTTAAGCCTGGCATTTAAAATGAATCATTTCATCCTATCCACAAGGCAAATACTATAGTTTTGCAGTAGGCAAACCAAAAGCGTCGATGGGTAAGGGAACAGAGCAAGAGGACCTCAGTTTGAATTCACCAGACTGTGAGCTGATGTACTATCTGCTGTCCCACACTGCATCTAAGAAGAGGGAGGATGAGGAGCATTTAGGATGAGGACCTCTTGGACAGTATGAGGACAACTTGAACTTGTTCATTGTGTCAGCCTCCTGGGATAGCTCTTACCTTTTACTTAGTAGGAACAGGGACACAGAGAAGAGGAGGGGAAGACACTACTCCAGCAGGTGGATTTTCAGGACCCTGGAATCTGTGTCCTCCTAGAGGTGCAGTGAGCTTAAGACCAGCCACTGGGATGATCTTTGCTTCCTATCTTAGGATGGGCGCAGCTCAGTACAATGGGCCCCAGTGACAGTCTGCTAAGCAGAAGTCAAGACCCCTAGAGGATTGTGGGGGGCTAAGTGCAGCACAAAAAAATTTACTTAACTATGTTGCCCTTGTTTTCCCCATCTGTCCATTTGGGTATGTTGAAGTAGATCATGTTTAGACCCTGAAGTGCTCAAGCATGAAGCATTCAGAAGAGAATAGTGTATCTGCCAATAGAGAGATTTTAAAATGCCATAGCAGAAAATATGCAAATGTAAGTATAATTCCTTAAGAGCAAATATCAAAGAGTCTATCACAGACAAGGGTTCTATGAAGAGTTGAGGCCTGTACAAACTCTTCAGCCATGGAGATTTACATGGGATGTTATATCTACAACTACCAACTTTTTAGAACATCATTTTTGAGGGAAATGACTAAAAGTCCTTTCTCTTTAAAAAGTACTGTATTACAGAAAAATCTGAACCACACTTTTCTCTTTTTGTCAGAATAATTATTTCTGGTGTGAATAGAGGCGTTAATTATCTTTCATTGGCCTCAGAATTGAGTTGTCTTTTTCAAAGCCACTAATTGTTCACTTTCATTCAGATAGGTGGTTCATACGTGTCAGGAAGGTCAGAGCTTAGAGCAGGTTAAACACACATGGGCACACTTAGAACTGAAAAGCTCCCACCTGTAGAAATTTTCCTCTAAGGATACAGATATGCATGGGCTCCAGGAAGATATCGTGTGGTGTACCGTCTCAGGGTGATGGATGTGTCATATATGCCAAGCTGTCTCTAACTATACTGCAGAAACTAGTGGCTGGTTTCCAACCCTGGCTCCCTCCAGTTCCTTCCCACACATTAGATGGCCCCTCATTAGCACAGGACAACGTCCATTCCTCAGGATTCCATAAGGCCCTGAGATGCTGTATCCTCTTACTTCACCCTCTTGGTCCTATGTTCTTATTTCAAAAGATACTAAACCCCGCTTTCTGGGAAGGCTTCCTACACCCAAGTGTTTTTATTTCTTAGCCTATGGGGGTAGGAGTGGTTTGTTTGGTTGGTTGGGTTTTCTGCTTGTTTTCACTCATGTCTTACCTACCTAGGTAACTAGCACAGGTGTATCATCCTACCAATAGGGACCTGGACATCCTTGGGGTCCCCAGGCATTATGACAGCCATTGAAATACAGGCACCCACTAGTTAAGGAAGGATAATTTTGTGTACTTGAGACATCTGGTTGTTAGGTTTCCTGTAGGTGAAACATCTGGGAGATTGACTAAGTGCCTTCACTTCTGCCCAGATGTTCCTTAGACACAGACCATTACATGAAATCATTAGCTGCCTTTGGCAGCTCGCCCAGGAGTTCAGAATCAGGTAGGTTCCCAAAGAGGCTTGTTTCCCTAAGGATAATTTATGGAGCTTCAGTCCCTATACCCAAGACCAGTAGGGCCCTATTTAAACAAGATTTATAAGGAGAGCCATGGAAATGGCCTGGTATTTCAGAAATACTGAGCCAATGCCCCAGGACCACAGCCTGAAGTCAGGGCTAGCTAGCCCAAGATTCATAAATTATTGTTGTCTTTATTAGAAGGGAGAAATGGTAATAAAGCAACCTGGTAACTTTCATTGTTTTCACAGGATGTCTGGTAGACGCAAAGTATCCTTTTGGGCATGAATGTAGATACCACATGTATAAAGACACAATACACTCCTACCCTGAGAATGTAGAAAAGTGTGCCTGGAATGATTATAAAATTCTTACAGAGCCAAAGAGATATCAATCTAACTAAATCTTCAAAGGTCATATAGTCTAACATCTTTATTAGATAAATGGGGAACTCAGGATACAGACCAAGAAGTGCCTTTCCCAAAGTCAAAGAAAATTCAGAGCCCCAGTGGGATTTAACCCAAAACCCATGGTTCAAATAGAGTTCCCATGGCTCTCTGACCACACATCTGCTAGCACAACTACTCCTTGCTCCCACAATGCAGGTCTAGGATCAACATGCATCTAAGTAGGAGGTCCTGGGAATTTGGCTCACCCATTCACTCTGTGTTTAGAAATGGAGGAGGCCGCAGTGGAACCTTCTGTGCTATCTGCAGTGTGTGTGAGATGATCCAGCAACAGAACATCATAGACGTGTTCCACATTGTGAAAACACTACGCAACAACAAATCCAACATGGTGGAGACACTGGTGAGATTCCAAGAACCATTAACCAACATCCAAAGTCTTCATGCTTCCTGGACCTGAAAAATGTGACTGTAAACAGGACACACCTTTGACAACTGGGTCTTACTTGAAGAACTGTAGTCTATTTAACTTGATGATACTGCCACTTTTCCTGTTTCTTTCCAACCCAACCAATTTCTCTTTCCTGCAGGGCAATCTAAACAGTAATCCCAGTCCACCTACTTTGTTTCACCTTCTGCCTGCTGCTTAAAATGTCCACTAATTCAGACTTCAAGGAAGGATTCTGGAATAGTAGTTTATGAATTATGTTTTCAATTCAGCCCAAGCCTATTCTAATTCACTTATGCTAATATTTTACAATATAAAGCAATAAACTAGGATGCTTTAGAGAAAGGGTAGTAAAGCCATTGGGAAGGCAGAGCCCAGATGTTAAGACCTGGTGAAATGGTGGAGATGACCCTACAAGGACCTTGACCATAAGAAGCTTTAAAACTGCTCAAAGTGTGATGAGCTCCTACATGGAATGTGGTCCATAGATTGGTGGCAGCAGCATCACCTGGGAGTTTGTGAGGAAGGCAGAATCTTAAGCCCCATCCCAAATTGACTGAATCAGAATCTTCGTTTTCAACATATACCCCTGCATGTTCTGCATGCACGTTATAGTTTGAGAAGTTTTGGTGTGCAATATAGTAACTGAAAGGGAATGATCTCAGTTGGGCATTCTTGGAGGTATAAGTAGACATAGGCATCAGTCAGGATGTTGAAAGATGTCCAAACATGGACTATGGATCATTTCTATTTGATTTTTTAGTGTGTGTGCAGATAGGTTTTCTCCAAAATCTGTAACTCTAATCTAATGCATTCTTTTATTTTCTATCTCTTTCTTGTCTCCATTGCTCTCCTCCTCTCAGGAACAGTATAAATTTGTATATGAGGTGGCACTGGAATATTTAAGCTCCTTTTAGCCCAGTTGGATGGAGAACCTGCCAGAGTCCAGAGGCTGATGGAGCTGACCCTCTTTTTCTATGACTGACAATGACTGGTCTCAGGAGCTCAGAGGTGGCACACCTGCCCAGCTCCAAGAAGAAGACTGGTGGTCTCATGTTCAGCAGTGGGCTCTGCAGCTTCTGGCAGGTCTTCTGTAGCTGTGGGAGATGCTGCTCTGATGGGGCCCGAGCTTCCCTGCTACACCTGACAACATCGGACCCACAGAAGTTTATCCACAAGCAAGGCCCTGGACTTCTGATCCCCAGACCTCTTGCTTTTGTTCTTTCTGAGTTTGTTAATCTCATGGCAAGCTGACTGTGCAGGTGCTGGGGTGTGGGGAACTAGCCAGTCCTTCCCTTGCTGTCCTTAGGAGTACTGGGGTTTCATCATGCTATCTTTCAAAAGATTGTAGTTTGGAGGATCACTGGGTTATTGGTTTCTACAATCTCCTACAGGGGCCTCTGGCATGAGACACCTGCCAGTCTGGATCAGTGTAACTTCTGGATACCCCCTAGACCACAGCAGGGGTCCTCTTCATCTCACACCTAACTTGTGCTGGGCTTGACTCATAACTCCCATCTCCAGCCAGGACTTGACATTCTGTATTATCCTGACCAACCAACTGTATCCACATCACACTTGGCAAAGTTTCCTTTGCTTTTCCATAGTCTGTAGGGGAGGAAGATTCATAGGAAATGTTGCAGTATCTTTTTATTCTTTGTAGAAAGGGTTGCCCTCCTGGGCAGGGCTCTGGCTGATCTGTATAGTGTAATCCTGTGCTTCCTAGGTGGCACTTTCTATGGGAAAGACAAACAAGAAAAGCTTTGCATGTTCTCCCAAGTACATGTGAAAAGAAACTCTTATGAGAATATAAAAATCCCATATTCTCTTATGTCAAGAAAAAAAGAAAGAAAAGAAAAAGGTAGGATGGCAGTTTGAATGTGTGGCTATAAGATAAATTTCTTGGGCTTATTATATTTCCTGGCCATACCCTTGAAAAGTCCCACTGATAGCACAGCCATTGAACAAGTGAGGTGACATCCCTGGGATTGGTCCCTGGTTTGGGGGAAAAATACAGTAACAGCTTTATAATTTGTCTCTCCAAATCTGAACTCTTTCCTAAAGAAATCCAGCTACCTTGCCGGGCGGTGGTGGCGCACGCCTTTAATCCCAGCACTCGGGAGGCAGAGCCAGGTGGATCTCTGTGAGTTCGAGGCCAGCCTGGTCTCCAAAGCGAGTACCAGGAAAGGCGCAAAGCTACACAGAGAAACCCTGTCTCGAAAAACCAAAAAAAAAAAAAAAAAAAAAAAAAAAGAAATCCAGCTACCATTTTGAAAATGGCTACTGTGGCCCCAAGTTGGCTTCTAATACAATAAGTGGGTTTAGGCCTGTGGCTCTGAGTCTTGCCCAAAGAATGAATAAATCAAGAAAAGGGAGAAGACATTTGGGAAGCATTTTCTGCAAGCCAAGTGCCATGCTTATCACCTCCCGTATGACATCTCATGTAGTCTGTAGCACTCCGAGAAAGGGTTTGTATCATCTCCATTTTGTAATTGAAGAAACCCATGCACCTTCTTCAGTGATGGGATTCTGGATTCAAAAAGGCAGGTAATGGCAAGGAAACCTCCCTGCCATTTTCTTCATGCTTTCTCAGCCAGGCAATTATTTTACGAAAGAAAAATACGGCTAGAAACTTCTGAGCAGAGAGAGAATTCCATGAGTAGAAAATTTAATTCTTTCTGTCTGATACTGGTTCTTCTTGGTAGCCCAAACTTTCAGAAATATGTTATTAACTCATTCCCAGTTCCCCAGGAAAGCTAGTCTTATCTAATTTCTTCATTGCTAAAAACAATTCTCACGTTGCCTCAGGCTACAAGGGAGCCAGCCCGGGAATCTCTCTAGCCAGGGCTGAGCCACACTATTTGACAGCCTTAATAGCCAGGGGTCTAGGAGGCTCTATCTTGCAGACTGATCTAGCCACAAAGTATGAGGAACACAGAATCCAATAAGGTACACATCTTGCCTTCAGGCCCCCTGTATACTAGGGAAGCTGAGCCACATTGTAATAGTGGAACATCCAAGCATCCAATGAGCCTAGACATGAGAGTAACTCACTCCGCCTAGAGCTTCCTAGGCAACATCCATTCCAGCTGGGTCTCAACAGACAGAAAAGAAAAAGGAAATTCAAGCCAGGGGGGTTAACGTGCACAATGGTAAAGAGAGGTGAGAAGGTATCAAGAGGGACAGATGGTAGGAGGTCAGCTGAGCTAGAACGGAGCAGGACCGGGATAATAGCAGGAAGGTAGCCAGAGCCAGGGAGGAAATAGAAAGGGCACAATCATTACCCTGCGGGCAACAAGAAGCTGGCAGAGCTCAACAGTGATGCACTCAGTTTTAGAGAAGGCTCCTTCTGGACCAGTAGTACAGCATCCTTTCCTTTCATCAAACACTGTGAAAACATGCCCCTCAGCACATGCGTTTAATGTTATGTGTGTGTGTGTGTGTGTGTGTGTGTGTGTGTGTGTGTGTGTGTGTGTTCATTATTTTGTTGCTGGAACAAATAAGGAGTGGATCATGAAACTCCGCTCTTTTGTAAAACCCTGTGTCTCTGCTCTACCATGGAGCAGGGTCAACATCCCTGGCCTCTAAGCCTATGAGGACAGGACATGAAAGGACACCAGGGAACCAGCTTCTGTTGGCATGAGCCCAGGATCTGTCTAGAAGTCCAAGAACACCATACTTGATCAAGGAAGGCTGTCACTTTGGAGGTTCAAAAGAAAACATCTCAAAGCAAAGGCAAGGAAAGGAGTCCCATGATTTATTCTTCTCCTTTGATGGGCCTCTTACCAGGTAGATTTGAGTATATCCCCGGGCCCCAGCCCCCACTGGTCCTTCTCACTTCCTATGGCTTTTGTCTCCTATCCCAAATGGACTTCCCTATAGCCTACAGGAGTCTGGAGCATAGCCAAACAGCATGTCGCGTGCTATTTCCTCAGATTTTGGCCAATTCCAACAGGGAGAAGGTAGAGGGAGGATTATTTAATACAAATCCAAGGATTCATTCTGCTGAGGAAGGGGTGAAAGAGCTGATAGATAAAGATGACAGTGGTCTCTATCATTTCAAAGGATGGGAATTTGAAGAGTAACTTCAGGGGAAAGGAAATGTGTGAAAATTCAAGCCGTGCTGAGGGAACTCACCAAGGGTTAACCCATCCCCTTATTTTCTCACAACACAACCACCCTCAAAGAAAGTGGTCTTAGACCAGTGCACACAAAAAGAAAATGAGGCACATGGATAGAAATGACATTCTCCAGATCCATGTGGAAGACATGCAGAGGGCTTAGATGACTTGGAATGGTACTAAGGAATTTATAAGATATTTTCCCCCAGGAAGTCTCCCAAGAAAATCCACCTTCCAAGAGTCTTTTCCCACCCAACTCCATTTATAGGGTGGGCTTAGCTTTACATGAGCAAAGGAAAGGTGCCAAAGAGAATCCTCACGTAGCTAAGGTCTTCCTATTGGTCTCTACTGAAATCTAAATGGAGAAGATGTAAAGTATAAATGAGATACTCTGAACTGCCCCCACTTGGGTGTGTTAGTGACCTACATGGCTTTAGATTGGATCATAGCTGCATCTCAACATCAAGTTCTTTTAACTCTACTGATAGGATTATCGTGGATGACGTAGAAACCTGTCAGCCTCTAGACAGCCACAACAGGCTCCCTTTTATAGGAATAAGAGGCCACTTGCTTCAGGTGTTAACCCTCACTGTGGGCCTGAACAATCAATGACCAGCCAAATGTCGCCTACTTGTGGAACCAGCAGACTGCTGTGGACTCTAAAACATGAGGCAACTCTTCCAACATTCCTGAAGTATCCGTGACTGTGGCCATCACTACTTTACTGGTGAGGAAACAAATCTAGAAAGAGAACTCGCTTGGCCATATAAGCAAACTTGACCTGGTTTACTGAACACAGAGACAATATTCTTCCACCATAGTATCTGGGATTTTCCCACATGATTACTCTTAGCAAGAGAGACAAGAGTGAAACTAATGACTCAGAAGATACTGGTAAAGCCCAGGGAAGACAATGGTCAGCTTCAAATTCCTTTAGTGCCTCATGTTTTACATTCATGATATATTTAAAATCTAATTGCTAGTTTATTCTTAGTAGTTTATGACTGCATAAAATATATATTTTTAAATCTGCCTTTATCTCATGCATCTCTCTGATGGACCTTAAGGAATGATATCCCATCCAAGGCATGGCACCTGGCCATGCTTTTTCCTTCTGAGGTCAATTCTAAGCTTAAGTTCACACCAACTTATAGTCCCCCAGCCACATTCACTGCTGTGGGGGTATCCTGAGTACACCTGAGATTCAGCTAAGGTCTCTTCTTCTTACAGAGGGCTCTGCAAGGTACCCACTGACCGACTAGAATAATGAGGACTTACCTGCCTGGCATGGGGAAGGTTGAGCCCATGAAACCCTAAAGACAAAGGAGAAGCCAGATGCAGCCTTACTCAGAAGATCCTTGAATGCTGAGCAGTGCCTACTGTCTTAGTAAAGTCTTATGTCTTCTGATGTTGACAAATCTTAGGACACATGTTACAGGAACATATGGAATCTTAAACACCCTTCACTTTAATTAGCTCCATACAATCCTTGGGTTCCTATAGCATTCAGCACTCCAGACAGGTACCACTAGGAAGTACAGCTCACTATATACACCATGGTAAGTAGAATAAGAGCTTGATCTTAGGTTTGAACTTCAACTTTACAATATTTCAGACTATAAAATATCAGGCTAAACAGTACATTGAAAAGGGAACATGAGGAAAAATCCTTGGCCAGGTTAGAAGGTGTTAATCTGGAAGGCTAGGGGCAGGAAAACAGGAAGGCAAATTGAAATTCAGTGTCTCCTCAGAAGCCTGGATGCTTAGGGGATGTGTAGTGGAGTGATAACCTAAATGACATGAGGCTAGAATAAAGAAAGCCACCCTTCATTAGCCTGGAGCTGGCCACTCCTGCTAGCCAAACAGGTCCAGCACCAAGCCAAAACAAATTCCATACTGCAGATGATATGTCTAGATCCAAGGCTAAACATGAATGGGATGCTGATCCTATGCCATAAGGTCAACAGAGTATACTGAGCCAAGATCCCTAATAATGAGTCACCAACCCAAAGCAAGAGACAAGCCAAAAGTTAAAACGGAGATAGAAATGTCATCTCAAAGCCCTGGCTTGCCTTTCCCATTGACCAATCAATGTGAGGCCCTCCTTAGCCTCTTACCAGCTCCAACTCCTAGTCAAGCATAGCAGAAAAATGGAAAAAGTAAATTCAGTCATAGACCAACTGATTCAGCCTTGTTTGTATGGGTGCCCTGTGTGAGGTCATCTCTGGGTACATATCAAAATATCAAAAATTATACAACTCAGAGCCTTTACTTTACATAACATGGTATCACATTTGAAATCCTATCCTTTCTGAATGAGAGAGAGACAGAGACAGAGAGAGTGGGAGAGTATGTGTGTATGTGTGTGTGTCAGTGGACAGTGGGGGAGAGAGATAATAGTTTAAACTTGAGTTTTCTCTGACACATATTTCCAGGTCATGGAGCTGATCCTCA